GCCCCTTTAAAGGCATTAGAGGGCCCTCTAAGGGGCCCCCTTGGGTCTTCTTTTTGCATTTCTTTCTCCCTAATGGGGCTTTCTTTTTGCTGCTTGTTATGCGCTGTGCGGGGCTGTTTTCTTTGCTGCTTTTCGCTCTTTCGTTTTGTCTTTTTGTTTATATCTTTTTATTCTTTTTCTTTTTTTTGTCTTTTCTCCTCTTCTTCGAACTATATCCTTTGTTGCCTGCTGCTGCCTTTTTATGCAATATTTTTTCAAAGTTTTTTATCTTTTTGATTTTCTTTTTTTGCTTTTATTGTCTCATTTTGGCCTCTCTTTTGTTTGTCTCCTTCGGCCCCTTGTGTGTTTCAATTGCACAATTTTTGTTCCTTTTCTTTGGCTTCATCTTTTGCTGCTGCTGCTGCTGCTGCTGCTGCTGTTGCTGCGCAGGCCTGGACTCTTTCGACTTGGGAGTTGTAATGGCAGCAGACTGGAACGAACATCTCAATGCAACTTCTCTTTCTCATTATTATAAACTCACAAGGGGATTGGGTTCCACTTACCCCGCCCTTACTGCTCCCATCAACCTCCCTGAAGACACCCGTAAGCAGCGCTCCAGCAGCAGCAGCAGCAGCAGCAGCAGCAGCAGCAGCAGCAGCAGTAGTAGCAGTAGCAGTAGCAGTAGCAGCACAGCTGCATCGCCGGTAGTTCTTGCAGCAGCAGTAGTGGTAGCTCTGCAGCACAACTCGCGGTAGCAGCAGTAGCACGAGCAGCAGCAGCAGCAGCAGCAGCAGCACGAAAAGCAGCAGCAGCAGCAGCAGAGTTGCGTCGCTGCGCGTTGTGCTGCTGCTGCTGCAGCGGACAACCTCAAGATGACTGCACACTTGATGGAGGCCCTGGGGGGCCCCGCGGCAGAATTGGAAACAAAATATTTACCCTTTTTGTGGGGCTGTGACCGGCTGGGGAGGCCCCTGGGGGCCCCCGGGGCCCCCGGGGGGGCCCCCACCCTCCACGGGGCCCTTCGGCAGCAGGGCTTTTCTTTAATTAGCACTTGTTATAGAGCTGGCTTCTCTTACAAGTGGCAGCGGGGCTGCAGCTACCCTTCCTTCAGGGCCCCCCGGGTACTTGCTGCTGCTGCTGCTGCTGCTGCTGCTGCTGTTGCTGCTGTTGCTGCTGCTGCTGCGGGTCTTTCTGCTTGGTTTTTGCTCTTTCTGGGCTCTTTTTGGGTCATTTTTGCTTCTTTTGGGTCCTTTTTGGCTCTCTTTTGCTCTTTATCACTTCAGTTTTGGTCTTTTTCTTTCTTTTGGTGCTTTTTGGTCCTCTATGTGGGTTTTGTTCGTTTCTTTTGCTGCTGCTGGATTCTGGCCGTTCTGCTGGTCTTGCTGCTGCAGTTTGTTTGCTTTTTGGTCGTTTTTGCTGCTGCAAAGCTAGATATAAGTGCGGAGAAGAGAGTAATGTTAATTTGCAGCTTTTGGGGCTTCGAAGTTTGCGAAATTGCGCGAAAATGGGGCTTTTTTGCATGCATGCATGCATGCATGCAGGGCCACACGGCCTTCCACGCCTTGAGGAGCTGCCTCGCGAAGAAGACCCTCAGCTCGCCCCGAGGGGCCGGCTTTCTGGACCGCGTGGCTGTGCGGCTGCCGCAGGAGAGCAGCAGGAAGCTGCAGCAGCTGCTGGCAGCACGTGCTGCAGCAGCAGCAGCAGCAGCAGCAGCAGGGGAGCGCGAAAAGAAAAGACAAAAGACGGAAGTCGAAGCTAAAGACCTTCCTGAAGTCTTTGCTTCCGTCACTGCTGGCGCTCAAGTCTTCGACCTCCGCAGCGACCATTCGCAGATAGTCACTGTCATTGAATTCCTCAAACTCAAGTCCCCCAGCGAACAATGAGCTGCTGCTGCTGCTGCTGCTGCTGCTGCTGCTGCTGCTGCTGCTGCTGCGGCTGCGGCTGTGAACGCTGCGGCTGAAACTGTGGCTGTTGCAGCAGCTGCTGCGGCTTGACTGCGGCAGCAGCTCCTGCGGCTGTGGCTGCTGCAGCTGCGGCTGTGGCTGCTGCGCCTGCTGCTGCTGCTGCTGCTGCAGCTGCTGCTGCAGCGGCAGTTGTGGGGAGAAGACACTGAGGACATTTGAAGAAGACACAGAGAGACGTCAGCAGCAGCCCATTGAACCAGCACTGATGG